TCAATGTGCACATATCCGCGCAAATGAAAAAGGGCACGTTCTAGCCGGAACCAGGGGAGAAGATAAGGCCCACCTGGCCCCGTACGTCCTGCAGGGGAAGGGCCAGGGCAGAGGAGCCAGGCTTCAGACCCTGCGCCCTGACCGAGGGCCTCGCAGATGGCACCACAGGCCTCAGCGACGATCCTGCATGTGGTGGTCTGGGCTCTGGGGCCTCCCCACAGGGAGGGGAGTGGAGGGCGTCCTGTATGGAGGCAGGGGTGGTGCATGTCTTTGTGGTGGGTCTTTGACTGTCCTCATGGCCAGAGAGTACGATGTCGGGGGATGTCCAGCCCAACTGTGCGACCAGCAGAGAGGACGGGGAAGCTGAGGCGTGACTGCAGGGAAAGGCTCAAAACCAGCCAACCAACCAGCCGTTATTGATCTCGTTCAGAAATTGTTTGGGAGCAGCAAGAGTCCTTCCCGCATGAAATCTTCCCCCGAGCCCCAGTGTGTGGCACAGCCGGGGGCTCTGCTTGGTGGCGGGAGCCCACCCACGGGAAACAGATGCCCTGGCCTAACTGGGCTTAGAGCAGATCCCCAGGCAAAGTTTGGGTACGAGCAGTTCATCGGGGAACGGATCCCAGACAAAGACCCCAAGAGAGTGGGAAGAGAGGCAGGGGAGGGAGGCAGCCACGCGGGGTGTGCTGAGCGGGTGACCCTGTGGGCTCCCGGGGCCTGACCCCCCTCAGGACCTCTGGGTTTCCCACCGGCAGCAAGGAAGCCGGGCTGTTTGGCCCCCAACTCCTGTCCCTCTTGGTGGAGGGCTACTCCAGGGAGGTTAACCCCTGCACCACCCCCGCCCTGAACCTGGGCTGCAGGGACCCCCGTGGCCAGAGTGAACCTCCAGGTGGAGACCTACAGGTGCTGGAGACGGGACGCTGCTGCTGTGGACGGGGCTGTCCACAGAAGCTGTGCGTGGACTCCAGTGGCTGGGGGCATGGGCAGGGCCCCGCCAGGGTCTGTCATAGACTCTGAGTCCTCGACTCCCTGTCCTGAGCTGTGTGGTTGTAACTCCTGTGGGAAAAGAGCGCCTCTGTGGACCCAGTGAGGGAGTGGCCCCCTTGGGAGCGCTACATGAAGAGGGACTCTGTGGACACCCCATATTCAAGGAGCCCCTCTGTCTCCTTGCCTCTGCATCCTATGGAAACCCGAGGTTCAGAGCATTTGGAGCTAAAGCAGCAATAAGCGCGAGAAGGCATGGACCGGGATGCAGATGGGGGTACTGACCAAGGCAGACTTCATCCTGCCTCAGGGAGGAGCAGGGCCTCCCAGGGCCTGAGAGGATGAGCGGAGGTGCCGGGAGCAGAGCGGAGGCCAGGGCTGCTCCTGGGTGTGTGGGGTCCTGGCACGTAGTTTTGTCTAAATAAGCAATTTGATTAAAAAATGTACCAAATTCATGAGTCCAGGTGAAATGTAGGGATTTATTCAGAATATGGTGGAGGAGAGGTACTTTCTGACTTGTTCGTCTAATCCAGTGGTCGGCAAACTGCGGCTTGGCAAACCACGGCTCGCGAGCCACATGCGGCTCTTTGGCCCCTTGAGTGTGGCTCTTCCACAAAATACCGACT